AGCATATTGTGGTCTTCATCTGCTTTATTCTACCCAATACTTGTTTAAGTTTAACAATTTTATTTAGGCCACGTACATTCCAAGTGGCCACATTTATAGTGGAGCTACCTGACATAATACAATTAACTTTTTATTTTATTATGCCAAAAGAGAGTGGCTGTACCCTTTTCAGTTTCACATCCATGTTTTGTAGACACCTTAAATACAAACGACCTTGAGTGAAGCTCCCAAAATAAAACCCCGCACATTTCCCCAAACGAAATGTGACCGTGAACCCTTCTAGACTAAGAACTTGGGTTAAACAAGACGTTTCATCCACAATGTGGGTAACGTACAACTGCGCACACATCATAACACCGGTGTGCTCGCAATAACAGTAGTCTCCGTTGAGAAAACCAGCACCGACCAGCAGGAAAACCAGCGGCCCATACCGGCCCCCCAACAGGAGAACTTTGACCAAACAAAAAATAAAATAAAAATAAAAGTATGAATATGCCCCTGGTGTAAAAGCAGGTCAAATGGAAACTAGAAATAGTAGTGAAATAAAATGTATATCGTAAAATATGTATAGTCAAGCCAGTCACTTACTTATAGGTCCATTAGAACATCTTATACGGCTCTTGCCTCACAGTGACGGTCCGCTCCTCAGAGAGAGAGAAAAAAAAAAGTAAAAAAAATAAAGTTTCTGAGCTCAGTCTCCATCGTTGTCAGCAGCTGGTTGTCTCATTTTCTTAACGTAATCTTCAGCCTCTTCGTCCGACTTGAAGATGATACGCCTTTCGTTGTGTGTGATCATCAGCTGGGCCGGGTATAGCATCCCATAGCGGATATTCAGAGCGCGCAGCTTTGCTTTTACGCCGTCGAAGCGCTGCTGCTGGCGACGGGTCTCTGGAGACAGATCAGGGAACAAACTCAGCCGATGGTCCTTGTAGAAAATCTCCTTCATTCTTCTGGCAGCGATCATGGCGGCCTCTCGATCCCGGTAGTTCAGGAACTTCATGATCAGTACTCTCGCCGTCGTAGCTTTAGGGCTGTATGGTCCAATTCTATGCGCTCTCTCGATGATGGGAGGTGAAGTAAAACAACCACCGAGCGCGTCTGTGAGCCATTTCTCCAGAAATCCGCACATGTCTTTGCCTTCAGATTTTTCGGGTAGTCCCACCAAACGGAGGTTAGAGCGTCTGTTTCTATCTTCATAACTTGTAATCTTGCTGGATAAGTCGGTAATAGTTTGCTCAAGTTGTTGAACTTTACCTTGGAGAGAGGCTACATCATCTTCAGCCCGTGATATTCGCTCCTCAGCCTCATCGAGTCTTTGTGAATGCGCCTGTACATCCCCTTTCACACTTCTGATGGCTTCCAGTGTGTCAGCAGAATGTTTCTCCATGTCGACTCGTAATGAGTGGATAGCGTTGAGGATTTCACTGTTAGTAGTTGTCTCTCGAGCAGCGCCCTCAAAGTGGGTCAGATGCGGCGGCTGCGTAGCTTTGTTAGCATTAGCTGTAGCAACGTTAGCATTAGCTGTAGCAACATTAGCGCCGTTGTTCGATCTGGTTGTTTTTGTAGTTTGTTGGCCTGGTGTGGCACCTTTAGGTGGTGGCATGATGAACAAAAAAATACTAAACACGAAAATGCGTCAAAATGATAGTTGGTCAAAAGTTAAGGATAAATCTGAAGGATTTTGTTGCGAGCCACTCACACGTGCGACCTCTTACCAAGCAGCCATAACCGGAAGTCCCAGTCTTACTTCTTAAGGTAAACGCTGTCAGTGGCATCTTTGAAACCTCACCTTCCCTTCTTCGATTGAAAATAATGACCTCACAAAGAGTCAAAACTGCCAGTTTAGACCAATGCTTAGACGTTGGCTCACTTATTAGGGTTTGCACATATTCAGGTCGACATACCTCAATATGTGCATGCATGGCTCTAACGTCCTCAGTCAGAGGGAGCAGGTCCGGAGTGTTCCACTTGGCTTGCCGGAGGGTCTGTAGGGCAGCAGAAGAAACACAGACGTCCCACCTCTTCTCAAAAAGCAGCCGGCTTCGTTGGAGGTTTTTAATAAATAGTTCATCAACACAATGCTCTTTTTGAGTCACATTCAAGAATATCTGCTTTCTGAGGCTATGGCCGAGTTTGAGGGCCAAGGATGGAGTCTTGTATTGATTTGTTTCCTCATCATATCCAGCCACAGACCTGACTGCATCAATCACATGGTTAAAGTTGGAAGGAATAAAGAAATCCTTCATTGTTTTCAGTTTCCCTGCGGTTTTTGCTTCGTTAATTAACCTACCGACTTCTCTCATTTTCTGCCTAATGCAGGGATTAAAGAGTTCCGTCTAAGTGACGGATTTCCGTCAAATGAAATTGGTCTGAAAAAAATATATATATCTATATATAATAATAATAATACACACAATGAAATGGTTAATTATAAAAAATATATAGTAATACATATACGTGTGAATCTGTTGCATATATCTATACATATAAATACAATTACATTCGAATTATTATTATATATGTATATAGAAATAAAAAGTAATATAATCACGAGTGGGCCTTGAACGTGCCGTTGCTAGCTACATGAGCGCTCCGTAAACGAATCAAGGCAGTGGGACGTAGCTGACCTCACGGCAAATGAAGACGCGGCCAAGTTAGCGATGGTAACACGGAGGTGAAAGTTTCTGGAAAGTGCACGGAGCTTTTGAAAAGGAGAAGAGGAGAAGGAAAATTTAATTCCGAACGGAGCAATAACAGCCAGCAGCCCCGCGGACCGGTAAACTGGGCGCTTTATCAGAGGAAAGGTAGGACATAATTAACGTTTACCAAACGCAATGCTTTTTTATTTAACGGAATGTACAATACGTACTTTGCTCTGACTGGGAATGGGGACAAACATGTCTTGGTGAGCTTTTGAATCAGAATCATTTTTATTGCCACGTAAGTAACAGAAAGTCACAGACTTGGAAATTGCTTTGGCTCAGTGCAACAGTCAAAAAGAGATAATAAAAATAAGAATAAAAAACACTTCTAAAGAATACATTTAAATTTAAAATAGAGTTACAGTTACTATTTACAATATACAAGTGCACATGGTGCACACAATGTAAGGTGACAGCAGTACAGTGAAGTAAAGTGACGTATGATGGGCAGTAAAGTGACTTTATAAAGGGCGGGGGGACAGGTTAAGAAGTGTTCAAGAGTCCAACAGCAGAGGGGAAGAAACTGTTCTTGTTCTTGATAATATCTTGGTGGCGATCCGCATGCAAAACTGCGTGATAAAAAGAGCCAATCAACGAGAGCGAACGGAAGAAACTCGCTGAAGAAAGGTGTGTGTTAGCGGGTCTTATATTCATTCATCAAAGCTAGCCTAGCATGCACGCACAATCACAATCATGGATCGTTGTTTATGGAAGAAGGAGCTGTATAAGTTGCTGTTGATAACGGAGTGAAAAATAAATGGAGGTGGGCATGGCTGGATGAGGTGGAGACGATGGGATTCTGTTGCTTCATGGTGCAAAAAGATGAAGGTGTCCGGTGCTTGTTCGTACTTCGCCATTATTTTTTGTATATGGGAGTAATGAGAAAACAGCTTTGGATTCACCACCAGCTCAAAACTGCGCACTTGGCAGCTGTCTGTGCGCTTTCCCACACTTCTTTACCTGGTGCATCAGATTCAGCGACAACTGAGACTAGGCTGGCTCTGGTGGACTGTGTCTGTGACCTAAAACTATCTGTGGCTTTATCGCAGAAAATAACCTGTCGTTCAGAACCATCACTACCGCTGGTAGATTTAATTATCATGAATCATTTGCAGTTGATCAAACTGCGCTGTGCACTAGCACCAAGTTGATAGGGAAACCTTTTTCTTAAACATTGAGAGTCCACAAACAAATGTGGACAGAATCTTGAATGTCCTTTTGCGATATTTTGACGAGGACAGAGCCAAAGGACAACGCCTCATCTCGCCTCAAGTAAAGCCAATGATGCAGATCTAACTACTTTCACTAATATTCTGTCAAAGAGTTGACAAGTTCCTTGATCCACTTGTTGTAATTTCACATCAAAATACACCAGTTTAAATGTATATCTTTGAAGAAATCGTTTGATCTGTAATTCATTATACAATAATATATTATTCTTATAATATAAGTTATAAGAATATAACTTGGTCATAAATGATGATAATCATGATACATTTCCATGAGAAAATTTTCAGTCAGATCTTTTTTTTTTGCTTTAACCCCTGGCCTAATGTAATCATGCTTAGTCTTATCATGCCCGTGTTTTAAGTACAGGTGCTCTCCGAGTCTCAGAATCCCCTTTTCTGCTTTGACAACACCCGTGACCTCATCCTGATGCATTGCCGAAATTAAAGAGCACAGCTTTTTGCTGATGCCCTCCGGTACAGGCTGGGCTAGGGAGCAGAGGGACTGGACCCTACTTCTACCTGGTTTAGCCTGGTTTAGCCTGGTTTAGCCTGGGCATCTTTCTGTGAAAGCCGGCACCTGGCCACATGCCTCCACAGCGACTTTCGCTTAAGCAATGCCCCACAGTCTATACAGTGCAAAAACTCACTGGATTTAACTGGGCAATTTGGCTGTTTAGCTGGGACTAAAGTTCCAATGCCGGCCTTTAAAACCTCAACATTGTGCTCACGGTTTCCACTATTCCTGATCAAATCAAACTGAAGTTTACGTGCTTTAGACTTCACAGGTAGAGCCAATGCTCTGGCTACGTCACTTTCATTTCCATGTTTTCTAGTCAAATGACGGGACATTTTGTGGCAGGACATTGAACAGTAGAGGCAGAAGTGCCTCTTGCTGTAAACTCTGCCCCATTTTTCTTCTTTTGCAGCTGCATGATAACAATCTTATTTGCCTTTGGTTCGTCACTTTCCGAGTCTTGAAGAAAAGTGTTTTTGATTTTTCTTTTTCCATACTTTTTTACAGGTTTCTTCTTGACAGTTAAATCGTCAGAATCTGAGTCGACTTCATCAATTAGGGACTCTTGACTAAGCTGCACAAACAACAAATAATTAGTAATAATTCTATATAACAATTTGAAGTCATGACTTGTAGTCAGCACTTACCAGTGGTTTGTAAGCGTGCGCTTCAGTGTGCTGCTCTGTGATTGGCTGCAGCCTAATGAACCACACACTTGCACCTTTTCTAGCCTGACACCTGATTTCCTCTGTTGTGCTGCTCCATGATTGGCTCCAGCCTCTGTTGTGCTGCTCCATGATTGGCTCCAGCCTCTGTTGTGCTGCTCCATGATTGGCTCCAGCCTCTGTTGTGCTGCTCCATGATTGGCTCCAGCCTCTGTTGTGCTGCTCCATGATTGGCTCCAGCCTCTGTTGTGCGGCTCCATGATTGGCTCCAGCCTCTGTTGTGCTGCTCCATGATTGGCTCCAGCCTCTGTTGTGCTGCTCCATGATTGGCTCCAGCCTGCTGGACTGAAATTGCCCCAGTGTGCCCCTCCTTGATATCCCACAACCCACCACCAGGGTTCCGACACATAACACACTTTTTTCAGGAAAGTAAACCTCCAGGGGTCCTTTCCATATTTTTACAGAGACTGCATAAGGACCGTTAGAAAAGCATTACCCATTGATTATTAAGCTTGGACCAGTGGGGTCCGGTGTTCGGGCCCCACCACGTAAAACCAGTCCCCATGACGTGAGTGGAATCTCAGGTTATGGAACCCACCAGGAGTTGAAAACAAGTGCACACACACACACACACACACACACACAGAGACACACACACACACACACAGAGATACGCACTTTTATTTATATTGCACAAGGCAAATCCACTTAAACGGTTTCAGAAAAACAATACACAAATTCTGGAATGGCCTTCCTCTGTTCTCTCTCTGGTCTCGCTCTGGTCCCTCTCTGGTCCCTCTCTAGTCTCTCTTTGGTCTCTCTCTGGTCTCTCTCTCTGGTGTCTCTCTGGTCTCTCTCTGGTCTCTCTCTCTGGTCTCTCTCTCTGGTCTCTCTCTGGTCTCTCTCTGGTCTCTCTCTCTGGTCTCTCTCTCTGGTCTCTCTCTCTGGTCTCTCTCTGGTCCCTCTCTGGTCCCTCTCTGGTCTCTCTCTCTGGTCTCTCTCTGGTCTCTCTCCGGTCTCTCTCTGGTCTCTCTCCGGTCTCTCTCTGGTCTCTCTCTGGTCTCTCTCTCTGGTCTCTCTCTCTGGTCTCTCTGGTCTCTCTCTCTGGTCTCTCTCTCTGGTCTCTCTCTGGTCCCTCTCTGGTCCCTCTCTAGTCTCTCTCTCTGGTCTCTCTCTCTGGTCTCTCTCTGGTCTCTCTCTGGTCTCTCTCTGGTCTCTCTCTAGTCCAGGGGTCGGCAACGTTTGTGACATGGAGTGCCAGTTTGAAATGGTCTTCTCATCTAGTGTGCCATTACCATCGATAAACGCAAAGTTAAAATATGACACAAAATACATAAACATTTCCAATATACTTGAATTTTATTCTCAACAATAACAGTATCTGTATTTCAAAATAATTTATAAACATTTCAAAGACTGAAAAACAGCTAGTGTAGCATATAACAATAGTAAGTCCAGTAAACTGATTGTATTTGGGCTCAGACCAGAAGCTAGGATTGGGCTCACAGAGGGAGAGGTGTTTAAAATCACAGACAACAAAGACAGTGGTATGGTCCAGATGTGAATTAAAAGATAGATATTAGGGGTGCAACGATTTGAAAAAAATCACGGTTGGGATCGTTCCTCGGTTCAGTTCATTTTTCGGTTCATTTAAAAAAAAAAAAAAAAAAGTTTTGTCTATTTAATAAACACTGCTCCTGTGGACTCAGCACCTGCAGGAGGATCAGTGAGAGGCTGGTGCTCTGTGGACTCAGCACCTGCAGGAGGATCAGTGAGAGGCTGGTGCTCTGTGGACTCAGCCCCTGCAGGAGGATCAGTGAGAGGCTGGTGCTCTGTGGACTCAGCACCTGCAGGAGGATCAGTGAGAGGCTGGTGCTCTGTGGACTCAGCCCCTGCAGGAGGATCAGTGAGAGGCTGGTGCTCTGTGGACTCAGCCCCTGCAGGAGGATCAGTGAGGGGCTGGTGCTCTGTGGACTCAGCCCCTGCAGGAGGATCAGTGAGAGGCTGGTGCTCTGTGGACTCAGCCCCTGCAGGAGGATCAGTGAGAGGCTGGTGCTCTGTGGACTCAGCCCCTGCAGGAGGATCAGTGAGGGGCTGGTGCTCTGTGGACTCAGCCCCTGCAGGAGGATCAGTGAGAGGCTGGTGCTCTGTGGACTCAGCCCCTGCAGGAGGATCAGTGAGAGGCTGGTGCTCTGTGGACTCAGCACCTGCAGGAGGATCAGTGAGAGGCTGGTGCTCTGTGGACTCAGCACCTGCAGGAGGATCAGTGAGAGGCTGGTGCTCTGTGGACTCAGCCCCTGCAGGAGGATCAGTGAGAGGCTGGTGCTCTGTGGACTCAGCCCCTGCAGGAGGATCAGTGAGAGGCTGGTGCTCTGTGGACTCAGCCCCTGCAGGAGGATCAGTGAGAGGCTGGTGCTCTGTGGACTCAGCCCCTGCAGGAGGATCAGTGAGAGGCTGGTGCTCTGTGGACTCAGCACCTGCAGGAGGATCAGTGAGAGGCTGGTGCTCTGTGGACTCAGCACCTGCAGGAGGATCAGTGAGGGGCTGGTGCTCTGTGGACTCACCTGCAGGAGGATCAGTGAGGGGCTGGTGCTCTGTGGACTCACCTGCAGGAGGATCAGTGAGAGGCTGGTGCTCTGTGGACTCAGCACCTGCAGGAGGATCAGTGAGAGGCTGGTGCTCTGTGGACTCAGCACCTGCAGGAGGATCAGTGAGAGGCTGGTGCTCTGTGGACTCAGCACCTGCAGGAGGATCAGTGAGGGGCTGGTGCTCTGTGGACTCAGCACCTGCAGGAGGATCAGTGAGGGGCTGGTGCTCTGTGGACTCACCTGCAGGAGGATCAGTGAGAGGCTGGTGCTCTGTGGACTCAGCACCTGCAGGAGGATCAGTGAGAGGCTGGTGCTCTGTGGACTCAGCCCCTGCAGGAGGATCAGTGAGGGGCTGGTGCTCTGTGGACTCAGCTCCTGCAGGAGGATCAGTGAGAGGCTGGTGCTCTGTGGACTCAGCCCCTGCAGGAGGATCAGTGAGAGGCTGGTGCTCTGTGGACTCAGCACCTGCAGGAGGATCAGTGAGGGGCTGGTGCTCTGTGGGCTGGGTGCAGCTCTGACTGCCACCCCCCGACCCAGAAATGGATTAAGGGGAAGAAAATGGATGGCATATTCCATCCATCCATTTATGTCTTTTTAACATAATTAATGAAAAACACAAAGTGCAACATAAGAAGGCACTTTATGAGGATATTTACCCTCATATATTAAACCACCTGATTCTCCCAAGGAGGGGGTCCATTCTGGGCCCAGCCTCATTCACTGCATTTATTTAATTTTTGGCATTATCAGTTGTAACTGGGATATTAGTACTGGGCCTTTGTCTTCCATTCCTCCACTGCTGTGTCAGTACCTGTGCTGTGTCAGTACCTGTGCTGCTGTGTCAGTACCTGTGCTGTGTGCCTGTACCTGTGCTGTGTGTCAGTACCTGTGCTGTGTGCCTGTACCTGCGCTGTGTGCCTGTACCTGTGCTGCTGTATCAGTACCTGTGCTGTGTGCCTGTACCTGCGCTGTGTGCCTGTACCTGTGCTGCTGTGTCAGTACCTGTGCTGTGTGTCAGTACCTGTGCTGTGTGCCTGTACCTGTGCTGCTGTGTCAGTACCTGTGCTGTGTGTCAGTACCTGTGCTGTGTGTCAGTACCTGTGCTGTGTGCCTGTACCTGTGCTGCTGTGTCAGTACCTGTGCTGTGTGTCAGTACCTGTGCTGTGTGCCTGTACCTGTGCTGTGTGCCTGTACTGACACACTTGACTGTCGTAGAGGGGGCGTGTCTGCAACGCCCGACTTTTCATCTCGCAGTCTGCAGTGATGAAGTGAGCGGTTATCGTAACATTTCATGGTTATCTCAACCGCTCATGGATCTATTATAGGTTCTGTTCATGGATCTATTATAGGTTCTGCTCATGGATCTATTATAGGTTCTGTTCATGGATCTATTATAGGTTCTGTTCATGGATCTATTATAGGTTCTGTTCATGGATCTATTATAGGTTCTGCTCATGGATCTATTATAGGTTCTGTTCATGGATCTATTATAGGTTCTGTTCATGGATCTATTATAGGTTCTGTTCATGGATCTATTATAGGTTCTGTTCATGGATCTATTATAGGTTCTGCTCATGGATCTATTATAGGTTCTGTTCATGGATCTATTATAGGTTCTGCTCATGGATCTATTATAGGTTCTGTTCTGTTCATGGATCTATTATAGGTTCTGTTCCGCTCATGGATCTATTATAGGTTCTGTTCATGGATCTATTATAGGTTCTGTTCTGTTCATGGATCTATTATAGGTTCTGTTCCGCTCATGGATCTATTATAGGTTCTGTTCCGCTCATGGATCTATTATAGGTTCTGTTCTGCTCATGGATCTATTATAGGTTCTGTTCATGGATCTATTATAGGTTCTGTTCCGCTCATGGATCTATTATAGGTTCTGTTCATGGATCTATTATAGGTTCTGTTCCGCTCATGGATCTATTATAGGTTCTGTTCTGCTCATGGATCTATTATAGGTTCTGTTCATGGATCTATTATAGGTTCTGTTCATGGATCTATTATAGGTTCTGTTCCGCTCATGGATCTATTATAGGTTCTGTTCCGCTCATGGATCTATTATAGGTTCTGTTCCGCTCATGGATCTATTATAGGTTCTGTTCTGTTCATGGATCTATTATAGGTTCTGTTCCGCTCATGGATCTATTATAGGTTCTGTTCTGTTCATGGATCTATTATAGGTTCTGTTCCGCTCATGGATCTATTATAGGTTCTGTTCATGGATCTATTATAGGTTCTGTTCTGTTCATGGATCTATTATAGGTTCTGTTCCGCTCATGGATCTATTATAGGTTCTGTTCCGCTCATGGATCTATTATAGGTTCTGTTCCGCTCATGGATCTATTATAGGTTCTGTTCCGCTCATGGATCTATTATAGGTTCTGTTCCGCTCATGGATCTATTATAGGTTCTGTTCTGTTCATGGATCTATTAT